TCCGGCCGTTGGAAGAACGGCATCCGGGGAATAAGTATGCGGAAATGATGACAGAGGCAAGGATAGTGAGATGCCAGTGATGTATACTGCGCTGCTGTGTTGACCACTGTTATTCTTTTGTCTGTGGTGATTTTTGTTTTTTGTTTTTTGTTTTTTGTTTTTTTTTGAGACAGGGTCTCGCTCTGCAGTTCAGGCTGGCCTTGAGCTCACTTTGTAGCCCCGGCTGGTCTCGAACTCGCACGGATCCTCCTGCCTCAGCCTTCAGGGTGCTGGGATTACAGGCGTGTGCCACCACGCCCGGCCTGACCACTGTTATTCTTCAGTGTTTCAGAGGGATTTGATCATATTTATTGAAGAGATTATGAATTTAGTTTCATAGATAAAGAGTTTGTGAAGAAATAAGGTTATCCATTTTTGTTGGTCCCCAGTATGCTCTTTGATTTTTAAACGTTTTTGTAAACTTCTGTTAATATTTCTCCTCTTTACATTTTTGTAAATAATAGCAAATATTCATGGAGTATCTAGTATGACCAGGCACTCATGATTTTGTCTATGAGGTACTTGATGTGGCCCAGATATTTTATTTTATCCTCATAACATGCCCCTGAGGTTTATAGCATCATTATCCCCTTTTTAAGTAGAAATCATAAATATTAAATAATAAACTAATAAGTGGATGTGGACCTGTCTGATTTTTTCCTTTCGCTCCTCTCCTATCCCCTCTACTTCTCACCGTCTCTTCCTTCACACACACACACACACACACACACACACACAAACACACACACACACAGAATGATTTCAATACCCATTCATTTTAATGGGAGTCACTTACAGATATCAAGTCCCAGCGAGTTTATCAGGGAGGAAGTAAGCCACCTCGGTTAAAATAACACTGTGCAGTAGAACAGAAAATAAGATGTCACGGAAAACTAAGCATCTTCACTTTCACAACATAGGAAGGAGATGCTGAAGTGCAGACTTGAGCTGGCCAGAAGTTGCCAGGGCCTTCACGAGGACCCCAGTGTTGGTGACTCACTGACCCGCTCAGGTGAAGTCCAGAGAAGCCTAAAACACAGGGTGGGGAAGCCGGGTTTCCTCTCTCTGGTCGTCCCCTGGCTCTTTTCTATGCTCCAGTCCACTTAGATATTTGTCCGGAAAGTGAAGATGTTTAGTTTGCCATGACATCTTATTTTCTGTCTCACTGCACAATGCTATTTTCACCAGGGCAACCAAGCTCCCCGATAAATTTTGAGAACATTTGAGCAGCTTGACGCTGAAAAGACTCAGCACACGCTGAGTTTCATATATTTATTTATTTCACTTTATTCCATGTTTAGTATGACTGAGTAATCAGTTCAATAAAAAAAGGCGGGGTGGAAAACCAATGTGGATTGTATAATAAAGCGACCCTGGTTACCGCAAACTGTATCCCAGTGATTCCAGGGTTCCTTTCAAAGAGCAGATTCTTCACACCGATACATTAAGTGTGATGGGGGATAATATTTCACCCCAGTTCACATTATGAATCTGAATAGGAACAAGCAAGGGTGTCCTTCTTCAGACAGGCACAAGGAGCACATCCCCAAGGACTGTGCTAACCAAGCAATGCAAAAGCAATAGCAAAAGATCCCAGGAAGGGCTTTGTCTTAACCCACACAAAAACAAAGACATAAAAAGTCTCCAACCCACCTCCTTTCTTCAGTGTGACCATAAGAGCTGGCAAACAATTTTCTAAGGGTATGCCAAGAGTCAAAGGCAGTCAACCCCATCCCTTGGCGTCTGTGTCTTGCGCATACTACTTTCCCTTTTAGTCTTCACAGGCCTCGTCTTCACCTCCTATTTCTTTCAGGAGGAAATTGGATTTGAATTTTATTTTACCTCCCTGTCTTATAGTGTGGAGACTAAGTAATGTAGAATCAAGAAACATGAGAACTGGAAGGGCCTGGAGAGGTGACTGGGCATAGTTTCCACTCAAAGCAATGCTTCTTGAATACAGTGTGTGTGAGGATGATGGCTCACTACCTGATAGTTCAGCCTGAGATTGATGAGCAATATCTTCCTTCATAGGGTTTCTACCTGGGTGGTTTTATTTAAATTTTGTTGTTTTAAATATGTCTTCCTTCAGTTTTACCACTTTGACACCTGTAACCTTGTCCTTCAATATTACCAACTGCAAAATGACGCACCTATTTCCTTCTGCTATTTTCAGTACTTCTATTAGGGACTAAATGGTGTGTCCTGAAAATTCCTATCTTGCAGCCCTAATTCCTAGCACCTCAGAATATGACTATAATCAGAAATAATTCCTTTAAAGGGGTGATTAAATTAAAGGCAGCCCTTAGGTGGGCCCTAATTGAATCTGACCATTGTCCTTATAAGAAAAGGACATTTAAGCTCAAGAAGAGACACCAAGAGGTACATGTGCACAGAGGAAATTCCATATAAGGAAGGGCCAAAAAGTGGTCATAAGCAAGCCAAGGAGAAACCAAGCCCTCTGACACCTCAGTCTTGGACATCTAGCTGTCAAAACTGTGAGAAAGTAAATCTCTGTTGTTAAACCATTTTGTGGTACTTTGTTATCGCAGCCCTGGTAAATTACTATAACTTCCACATCAAAACTGAATCTAGACCAAAACTGAATCTAGACCAAAACTGAATCTAGACCAAAACTTCTTGTTGCTTTCTTTATCTTCAGAGAAGAAATCATTATTAAAACAATTAAATCAGCCTGTATTTCCAGTATAAGGCTCCCTTATTGATGCTACCTCTAATGCATGCAGGTAGATTTGAAGTTTCCATATACTCATCCATTCACTCAACAAACAGTTATTCAGCATCTGCCATAAACCAGGACCTGCCCTGGTCATTGCAGTCACTGAGGCCTCCAAAATGAGTAGGATCTGCCTCCTCTCCAGGAATTAACACATGAACATACAAAAGTAGCTCTATACCTTAATAAAACCAAACTGGAGGTATCTGTCGGAAGAGGTAGCCAACAAGAAAGAAGTTAACTCTTCTGACATGGGCATAAGGAGAACAGGCAGGCAGCGTCCTAAATAACTGATGTGTAGATGGAGTATGAGTTTTCCATCATGCAAGTGGAAATAAACCCAGAAAAATCAGGCAGGTTCCTATGTACCCTGATCAAGAACTGGGGTTTTATTCCCAGGTAAGAGAGATACAGGAGAATTTTAAGCAGGGGAATGATGTGTTTAAATTTAAAGCATTTCACATGTTTTTTGTGCATCTGTATTAGTCAGTCTTACTATCACTGTGACAAAATTCCTAACACCTGCAACTCAAAGAAGGAAAGGTTTGTTTCACTCCTGATTAAAGAGGATTCAGTTCATGGCTAGCTGACTTCCAGGCAGAAACAGCACGGCAGAAAGGAATGAGGGGAGGAAAGCTGCTCAACCCATGACAGCCAGGAGGCAGAGAGAGAGAAGGGAAGATCTGGGAATAAGAATACGCCTTTCCAGGTCACCCTGTGTCATCTTCCCCCTCCAACGAGGCTCCATCTCCCAACAGCATGTTCAGCTATAAAGTCTGGGTTAACCCACTGATGAGTAAGTTCCCTTATGATCCAGTCACCTTCCAAAAGCTCCCTCTCTGAGACTTTTGGGGGACATTTCAGATTTAAACCATATCAGCATCTTACTCATCCTCTATCAGCATAGACTTACTCATCCTCTATCAGCATAGACTTTCTCCCACTGCAACACTGCTTCTACTTTCTCTTGTAAAATTATTTCACAGTCACTGTAAAACATTTACACAGTACAGTGGTTTACACAGATAACTTTGCAGTGTTCCTTGAGACCTTTCCATACCAATTCTTATAGTCATTACTCTGTTTCATCAGCAACACACTGTTCCATACTACAGCTGTACCATAGCTAATTTAGCATGTCTCATAGATGATATTTAAATTATTGCCAATATTTTTTCTACCGGGTACAAAGAATAATTTTTTGCAATTTTTATCTTTACCTTTCAGGTGAGGAACACTTAGCTGAGAAAGCTTGAGTAGATTATGTAAATCACATAGGCTGGCTGTTGCAAAACTGTCCAGAATTAAAAGTTAACTATTTCTAAGCCCAGAATCATCATATTTATAGCACACTGGGTCTTCATACAAGCATAAAAGACAATCTCACAGCTTTTTTCATATTTGGAAAAACTCTCAGTCATTCAATTATTTTTATACTCCATACACACACACACACACACACACACACACACACACACACACAAATATGCAAGCACTTATATATATTTTCCCAGTAGACCAGTAACATATATATTGGCATATTTAATTTTTAGCCTACAACTCAGAATTCTATTTTCTCCCAATATTTTCTCTGTGTTTCATTTTGGATACTTTCTATTACTATGTTTTCAAGTTCACTACTTTTTTCCCCTGCTCTGTGTTTTCTGTTGATAATCCCATGCACTGTATTTTCCATCTTTAGAGTTCAATTTTGTCTTTAAAACTCTTTCGTGGCTGTTCTTATCATGCTGTCATTTTCTTCTACTTTCTCAAGCCTACAGAGTGTAATGATGATAGTCCTAATGTCTTGTCTACTATTAATCCTTATTATCCCTCATTTCTAGATCTGTAATCATTGATTAAATTTTCTCCTTACTATGGATTATAGTTTTCTGCATCTCTGCAAGCCTAAAAATGTTTTATTAGCTCTCAGATGCTGTGGTTTTTATGTTGGAGGATTCACAAATATTTTAGTATTCTTTATGTACTTTTTGGTCTTATTTCTAGGACACCATGAAATAACTTAGAAACAATTTGACTTTTTCCCCCAGGCTTACTTTTAAGCTTCCTTCTATGAGCCCACCTTGATCTAGGACAAATTTGGCTTCACTATTTTGGTTGCACCCTTCAGAGGACTCAAGGCAATACTCAGAAGGGATTTCGACTTTGGATGGGAAGAACATAAACTATTCTCCATCCTGTGTGTGAGCCGTAGGGACTATTTTACCTGCTCTTTTTTAGTGGTGGTTTCCCTTGCAGATTCTTCCACAGATGTCTGGAACTCTCTTTGTGCAGTTCTCTGTTCTTTGGTGATCTCTTCTGAGAATTTCTACAACTGTGGGTCTCTCTGGGCAGAGTTGTTTCCCCAGTTCAAGATGACTTCCAGACACAGGCATCCTTGTCTTGCATTGAGAACTCCAAGGTGGTGAGGCAGCTCTAGGGCTTACTGTTTTGCTTGCCTTCCTTCAAATTCACAATTCACACATCACTTGGCCAGTAAATGCTCTTCAGATCAGTCAAGGCCACAAAAAAAATAAGAAAAAAGCCTGAGAAACTGAGGAACCTGAGGAGGCATAACAACTGCTGTGATGTAGTGTTCTGGGTGGGATACTAGGGCAGAAAAAACATTAGGAAAAACAAGGAAATCTGACTTTAGTTAATAACAGTGTACCAATATTTATACACCAGTTATGGTTCGGGTTATAATATACACTCATGGGAGGTATTAACAAAGGGGAAATTTTGGAGAGTACTGTTTTTGCAACTTTTCCATAAAACCATTCTATAATTACTTTAAACATCAATGATAAACTGATTAAGCCCTGACCTTCTTTTCATTATCACTACACAATGTCAGGGATGATATTCTCCTGCCCTGAACAGGAGACTCCTCAACCTTCCCTGCCCCCTAGCTCCACTCTCAGCCCATCCCCCAGACTTACAGTACCATTGATCACTCTAAGCAGTTCTAGTGAAGCATTGTCAATGACTTCAGGTACCTGCGGCAGTCAACCTTAGGCCCCTAAATTCCTGTCCCTTCAATAGGTCTGCACTCCTTCATCCCATGTCCAGCTCAGACCTGCCAGTGCTGAAACCAGTCACTCAATGAACACTGAATTCCACACGTCAGGTTGCCCGTTTTAAGGAACCAAAGTTTTTCAGAATTTGGTCTGGTTTTTTTGTTTTGTTTTGTTTTCTTTTACTTGATTGTTTTACCTGTTTACCTAACTGGAGTGATACATATTTAAGAAACATTTTAACCATTAAATAGATAAGCATAAACTTATCAAAGAAACTAGCAAGTCACTATACACAAAGTCACTATACACAAAGTGGGCAAATGACAGTGCAGCCAAGAATGAAAATGAAGTAAAAGCTTCCATGGAAATGAAGGAAACTGTTTCTGGTAACATCTGAAAGCGTTTCTCTTCCCACTAAAAAAGCCAGGTTAACTAATGCACAGGCCTGAGAAGTATTTCGGGAATACTGGGACTGAGTTGGACATGGATACTTCTAAGCTTTGCAGAATTTCAGTCCCAACAATAAATGAAACAAGAAAATAGACAGGAGGAGGGAGAATTCTCTGCGATCACCACAATAATGCTCAGGATCCAAAGATGCTCTCATCGTGTCAGCACTGATCAAAAGACGCCTAAGAGCACAGGGTGCAGGAGGGAGGCCGAACTAGAGCAGTGGTGGAAATGGAAGTGTGAGGTGTGGGAGCTCTTAATCTGTCAGAGTTAGGGGTGAAGAAGGAGAGCAGGAAAGAGGAAGACAGAGACGGGGAAGACAGAAAGAATAGGGAAGATGGTGACAGCACAGCACCCAGTGATCTGCTGCTCCTTACGTACACAAGGATATTGATTGTTTAGGAAACTGATCCCTTCCTTTCACACTGCACTTTCAGGCCTCTGAGTTTTCAGTAAAAAACTCTGCTCAAGAAGCATCAGATGGAAGCCAGGGTGAAGGACAGCAATTAACTAGATACTAAAATCTAAATGTTAATCAGAACATGATACTGAGTACTAAACCTTTTTATCAGAAACAGACCAAATAGAGCAATTTCCATTTGGATGGAGACCTTTATTCAGAACCTACAATAGGATGTCACGACCCAAATACCTTCCTAACACCTTTCTTTCCTTCCACCCCGCTTTTCCTCAGTCTGCCGCTCCTTTCTTGCCTATATCTGCTTCTCATTCATGGATGTCTTAAAAACAAAGGTGCTAGGCTAGTCAGGGCGGGCACTGGGCTCCAAACACTGGGCTTGGCTGTGTAGACAGCCCCATCGTGGCCCTGGTGCTCTGTAGGGAGCGGGGGCTCAGGCTTACAGGAGGGAATTACCTGTGCTGGGGAAGAAGAGGTTCTCAGACAGATTCACAGAGGAGAAATTACATGTTCAACACAGAGCTATTTGATTCAAAAGGTGAATCAGTTACCTGGGGTAACACAGTGCAAAGCACTCCTTGAAGGGCACTCCCACCTCTCAGATGTCAAAGGATCCTATTTCAGATTTATCAAAGCAGCGGGGATTAGCATTGCCACATACCCTTCAGTCCTGCCCCCTCCTCCTCTGCTGCTGCTTTGTTTGTATAAATACTTGTTTTAGAGTATTTTCTCCTCCTTTGTAAGTGAGGAGAAAGAATGGGAGGTAATTAGCGCTCTTGTAATGTTCCGTGTTTAGTTTTGTAATCCTTCTGTCAGGTTTATTTTCATGTTAAGCAAAAGAAGTCCCCCTGGAATATTATAATCTCTTCTTAGTGTTTGCAGAAAGCCGTGGTATTTAAATTAATAAAGAATTTTTCAAGAAAACCAAGGCTTTCCTTGAGAGCAGCAATTGAAAGAGAGCTTCATTCTGCTGAGCTTGTCTCGTCTTCGCAGTGACTTTTTTTTTGGTTTGTTTTTTTTTTTCTTCTTTGCGGTACCAGGGATAGAACTCACAACCTTGTGCTTACCAGGCAGGTCCTTATGCCACTGAGCTATATCCCCGGCCCCCTCTCTGCAGTGTTTAAGGTCAGAGAAAAGACTCTTTCTGAAGCTTGATGGGGGTTTAGGTTTGAATTTAGAGATGTGCTGAAGTGGCATACATTCCTGGCCCTCCGCATCCACAGGGTCCTATGCTCCTGTGATCCATCTGCAGCCCCTGCCCCAGGCTGGGCCTGTCACAGCCCTGGCCCACCAGTCGCATCTGCACTCCCACCCACTGCTTTGCCCTTTGTCATCAGCCCCACTGAACTCATTTGCTTCAGGCCCCCAACATCACAAAACCTTGCCCTAGTGGCCAGGTCGGAATCCAACCTCCTCGTTTACCTCCGGTCTTCTCTTCATGCGCTTCTGGCAAACTCTTGCACTTCCCCTCATCCACCTCGCACTTTCCTACTGTATACCTCCAGACACTGTATCCCTGCCTGGCTTAGGAGCCACCCCAGGGCTGCCTCCTTCTGGAAGTTTCCTCCTTCTCTCCCAGCCAGAAGTGCACTCCCACCCCATGTAGCCTATAAACCCATCTCAATCTGTCTACAGCACAGAGCAGTTTCTGCCTCATACTATAGATTTCTCACCCTCTTAATACATTATTGAGGAACTTTTAAGAAACTCGAACAAGATGGGTAAAGCTTGAAACCCCTTCACGTCTACCCTTAGTCCCTGCTATGCACGAAGGCAGCATGCTCAGGGCCAGTGATGCAGACAGTAAAAAGAATTTTACCAATGGACAAGGAAAGCAGAAAAGACTATTATGCATTTATATTAGGGTATGTTACCAAAAAGAGGTGTGGATGAGTTTCCAAGGGAAGACTCATGTGGTCAGGATGAGAGACTGGGCTATTTCTTTCCTTTGTTGGTTTTTTGAGACCATGTCTCACCTGTAACTCAGGCAGGCCTTGAACTTAGTGTGAAGTCTAAGCGGTCCTTAAACTCTAGGCAATCCTCCTGCCTCAGCCTCACAAGGGCTGGGATTACAGGTGTGAGCCACCATGCCCTGCTAATGAGATTGGGATTTTTGTAAGGATCTGGGGATATGGGTAAAGGAATCTCAGCAACAACTGTGATTATGTAAGGCATGTCTTTTCCAGGGTCATTTAGTACCTTGTAGATATTCCAGGAAGCATTTGTATTTGTTTAAAGTTACACTACACTTGCAGCATTAATAAAACTGCTTCCTTGGACCTTTAGCTTTAGATAAGTAGGTGATTAGGAAATCTTTTAGAAAAATTAAAATTAGGAAAAGTAGGTGACTAGACATATCTTTTAGAGAAAATGGTTTAGGACTCTTTAGGACTTGAAAAGCCTTTCTTTTTTCACAGGGGGCAACCACTGCAATTCCCCTCACCCTCCCCATTCCCCAAAGGTAGCATTCTAATGAGTTTAGTGTTTTCCTCCTAGCTGCTGCCTTCTCTATAAACTTTTATCTGATCCCCACTCCTGCCCTCCTTTGTCACCGCCCTTTCAATTCATACTTCCCAGAACACTAGCATCCGAATCCCTCCCTACTGTCAGACTCAGTGGCTGCTCATTCCTCACAAGCCCTGGCATCCCAGCTCTGGAGACCCCGCTTCCACCCTGCACATGGATAATGTATTTGTATTGGCAAGAGCAGCTCTCTCACTCGCTCTCTCTCTCTCTAAAACAAACATTCAGCTGTAGGCTGCAACCACTATGTTTTTATATGAGCCCAGGGAGGGTGGTCATTCACTGCTGTGTCTCAGGAACTTGGGGCAGAGCCTGACACATGGTAGATCTTCAGCGCCTATATGCTGAATCAACATATTGTACCATACATGGTTGCATGTTCCCTAGAAGTCAAGATTTGTATCTGGTTCACTGTCTACCCCCTCAAAGTGTTGTATGGAGCTCTACCTATGTATGTTGGTCAAACAGGGAATGAATGACAAAACAGGAAGTCAATCCAGCCATTTCAAACAAAGAATTGCTCATTTTGGAGAAATTAATAGAAATTGAATTGGAAAATTAGTCACTCTTTGGTACAAGCAAACAAAATCATCGTCATCATCACCATCATCATCATCATCATCTCAGGAAGGAGGCACAAATGAGACCAGCTGCTGCTGAGGATTCCCTAGTGGTGCAGAACAGATGCTACAAACTAGCACAAGGTTCTGGGCGTGGGCCTGACACCTCAGTTTTGGGTGCTTGTGTCCTTGAATGAAACTAGAAGCTCAATGCCTTCAGTGTTTACAAAGACATCTAGTAAGTGAAGAGACATCTGTCCAATGTCAATACAGAAGTTTTGTGGTTGCCATGAGGGACTCCTGTAGCCCTTTTCCCAGCCTTGCCTTGGTCTTAGCCACTTGTCCCACCAGAAGGCCTCTAACAGCCTGCCGCAGTGCTCAAGAAAACCACTCCTAGGTCTCATGGAGCCAAGCACTAACTCTCAGAGAAAAAGTCAATTGGGTCTTTGGACCCTGCTTGTACTAGGAACTTGTAAATCTGTCTCCAGGGCTAACCAGGCCCAACCCTTCTCCTCTCTTCATCCCCTATTTAAAACCTCCAGTGACTTCCTGACGCCCTTGGGATCAACTTCTAACTCAAGGTGTTCCTGGGCTGACTCCGGCCTTGGCTTGCCCCCTGGTTGTCCATACTTCAGCAACTAGACTAACAAACTCTGAGGATTCATTCTGTTCTTTTCTACTTCAGAGCTTTTACACATGTGATTTCTTCTGCCTGGCACACTTTTCCCTACTGGTCTTTTTTTTTTTTGAACCTAGGCCCTTGCACATACTAGGCAAGCACTCTACCACTAAACTACCTCCCTTGCCCTCCTCCCACTTTTCACATGATTTCTTGCATTTCTTTTTAGGTCTCAGCCTTTCTTGAACAATCCTTCCTCAACAATGTTAACTCTTGCTGTGTGATTCTATGCACACTCTACATGTCCACTGCAGCCCGATGACTGTTATTGCTAGTTTACTTGTGCACCATGTCCATCTAGATCATGTTGGCATCTCACATGCCTGCTAGAGTGTCTTAAATGGAGTAAGTGCTCACAAAATAATAAATGAAGAAATGTAAACAAAGGACTACCTTCCACTGCCTTATGTGGCTGCCTCATCCTACAGTACCTTCGGCTGGACTTCTTCCTGAATTCTTTTGTTGGAGAAGAATGCTGGGGGGTGGGCGGTGATTTAGAGTCTTTCCCTTGAGGTTTCCACTATGTTTTAAGAAAATGCTTATTCCCAGCTGCCTGGTTTAGGTACATAAAATTTGCGTATTGCAGTAAATACTTGGCCTCATGAATTTCTTGCCCGTTAAATAACAGAATTTAAAATGCTAGGTAAGCATGTAAAAGAAGATAGCATCGTAAATACTAGAAAATTACAGGTTAGTGATTTTTTTCCCTTTGATCTTGCAACTTTCACCACATGAAAGAGTGGTGGACTTACAGAGAGTCTTGGGTAGTTTTCTCTGCCTGCTTGTTGCTGGTCAGTGTGGAACAAGGGAGCTGGCACTATGAGTAGACACCAGTTAGGACGATAGCCCAGGTCACAAGAAATCTTCCTTCCACACAAATGTCTCCAGACAAAGGGGTGGCATCTGTGCTATGCAACAGGGATGGTTGAAGGATAGACCCTTGACCTAAACGGAACCAATTGATTCCTATTCTGGAATTTGAAATTTAAGCAGTTTTATATCCTTAGAGGCTGGAGTATTGGAGTAGAGTTAACATAACTGCAGCCCAGGGAGTCATTCACAGATTGATTCTGCTACTGAAGACTTCTGAAGGATTTGCACTGGCTCATGTCTTTCCTGAGATCTGAATTCATTATCTTTATCTTGTGAGTCACCCCAGGACATTTGCAATGCATCCTCCTCATGGATACACTAATACACTCATAAAGTCATCTTCTTATCCCAAGCTAAAGTTGGGATTTCACTGTTCAACTAATCTCTCACTTTCTGTAGGGAGCTGAGTGTCACCCTGACCTGCAGAGTCCAGATGGCTCAGCTGTATTGGGCAGAGTCTGCCTCTCACATGAGAAGCAGTGGGTGGCTTCAGGCACCTAGAGTGCAATGGGAAGGTCTGTTCTACCAAAGAAAAGGCATTTTGCTTGCCTTTCTGACAACTACTCAGTTCCAAAAGAAGAGGAAACAATGAATGCAACTGTCATGAAAGAATCAGCATGAGAGAAACAAATCACCACTGATGAGGTAGGGGCCCCTCACGTCACCCAAGAACCAAAGCAATACCCTAGACTTTAGGAGTTAAACACCTGAATGTCTGAGGAAATATGGTCATGACTGAAGAGCTGTGCTACTGAAAGGAAATATGGCTCAAGAGACTTTAAAAATGAAATTCTAAGTATAAAAGCACAAGTAACTCCAAAGAGTAAGAAAAAGGAGAGATAACCAGAGAAGCACTGTGATTTCAGAGGG